TATACCCACGTTTGACGATCGATTTGCGCGTCAGAATCGCTACGGTCCTCCACCAGGGTTTCCTCTGGCTTCAACCTACGCAAGCATAGTTCACCATCTTTCGGGTCTCAACATGCATGCTCACGCTCCGCCCCGATGACGCGTTGGCTGGCTAGCTGGCGCAGTCGCACACGCGACGACGCCAACGCACACCAATGACCGCACCATAGGACGGGCCGGTGATGCGCCCACTGCTCGATAGGCCTGCACCAGCCTGGCCGGCCGCACGCTAACAGCAGGATCCCACCTCGCCGCACCGCACCGCGCGCGCGTACGACGCCGGCTTCACTTTCACTACGCCTCGGGGTTTCGAGCGCACCCTTTGACTCGCACACATGTTAAACTCCTTGGTCCGTGTTTCAAGACGGGTCAGGTGGCTAGTCTACCACAGCACCACGGACTATCCCACCCCCGGTACCCCATGCACCCGAGGCAACGCGGAGCCGCTCACCGTGACAAGCGACGACGGACCACCGGCAAACCCGCATTCTGCAGGCAACACGATAGCCACGCCCCACGCCGACAAACAGCCTCGCGACCCACTCCACTACACCTGTGACGTGCGTGCCGGATACCATGACCGCCCGTTCGAAGGTACCAACGAACAAACGAATGAGGCGGATAAAACCGATGCCTTGCACAGTCACCTACACCACCGCAGCCCGCCGAGCCACCAACAGTGCGGTCACAGCACACCAGACAACAGTAGCTCGTTGACAGGAAGCGCATGATAGCACGCAGCAGCACCGGAGCACCACCGCACCGTCCACTCACCTGTCCGCGATCGTGCCCACCTGATCCATCCCACCCACCTGTCGGTCAGCCAGCCAGCCAGTCAGCGGTGAAGCCAACTAACTGACCAATCGAGCGAGGAGGAGAAGGACTACCAGGTGGGCACGACTCGACCACGGCAGACTGGCAATCCCACCGGTCGTGGTGTTCGCCAAGGAGAAAGTACACTGACTGCAAGGCCC